GACGTGCAGGCGCGCGATTACGGCGACATGGAACTCGTGCGCCCTATCAGCGACACCTTCGGTCCTGCTGTGTGGATGAACACGATCGTCGTGCTCACGCACGCGTCCTCCGCGCCCCCTGAGGACAGCAGCGGGCGCCCCATGAGCTACGAGATGTACGTGGCACAGCGGTCGCACGTGGTGCAGCAGACGATCCGCCAGGCGTCGGGCGACATGCGCCTGCTGAACCCCGTGGCGCTGGCGGAGAACCACCCCGCCTGCCGCACCAACCGCACGGGCGACCGCGTGCTGCCTAACGGCCAGGTGTGGCGCCCGCAGCTGCTGCTGCTCTGCTTCGCCTCCAAGTGCCTCTCTGAGGCCAATTCCGTGCTCGAGATTGGCGGCCCTGCTTCCGCCCGCGCCCAGCGCGGCCGCTCGCGCATGCCGCCGCTGCCGTACCTGCTGTCGTCGCTGCTGGGCCCGAGGCAGCCGCTGCGACTGCCGGAGGAGCAGCAGATGGGCGACGATGATGAGTACGACGAGAGCAGCGACAGCGAGGGCGAGGACGACGAGGTGGACTTCGACGCGCTGCCGCCCTTCCGCCGCCTCACCAAGGCGGAGCTGCAGCAGCTGGAGCCCGCGCAGCGCCGGGAGTACTACGAGGAGCTCGCGGACAGGGAGAGGCTCTTCCAGGTACGAGACACACACGAGATGACACGGCTGTTGGGAATGGAATGGGCTGTTGGGTTGAGGTGTGGGGTTTGTGTCTGTGAGGCTGAGGGTTTTAGCGCTGACGGGCGGACGCCGTCTGTCTCATAACACGTCTACATCTTTCCTCTCGCTACTTTGTTTTCTGCTGTGCGTGTGCTTGGGTTGAATGCGTTGACTGACCCCGTTTCCGTCCCCTGGTCCGTGTGTCCGTGTGTGGCTACGGTGCAAGCAGAAGAAGCAGTGGAGGGAGGAGCTGAGGAGACGCAGGGAGCTGAGGCGGAAGCTGGAGGCGGGCGAGGACGTGGAGGAGGAGGGCGCGGAGAAGGCCAAGGGGGCGGAGGGCGAGGAGGGCGCGGAGGAGGACGCAGGACCCAGCAACGTGCCTGTGCCCATGCCCGACCTTGACCTGCCGCCGTCGTTCGACAGCGACCAGCCCAGCCACCGCTACCGCTACATTGAAACTGCCAACCAGGTGCGCTGAGACAGGGATGGGGCTACGCTGCTTGTGATCGGGGTCGTGCTGCTTGTGAGGAAAGCTTAGGCGTTATTGAAAAGAAACTGGGCTTCCAATAGGCGGTTGTTTGACTTGATTTGTTTCCTTTTGCCCTCGTTGGTGGTGGCAGTGGTTGGTGCGGCCCATGTTGGAGCAGCACGGGTGGGACCACGACACGGGCTATGATGGCTTCCAAATGGAAAAAGCATTTGCCATCCGTGACAAGATCCCCGCTTCCGTCTCTGGCCAGGTACGCTCCTCGCTCCTCCCTCCCCCCCCCCTCCTTCCCTGTCACTCCCACGCTCCCGTTCAATTGTTATTGCTCTCACACACGCGTACCTGAATTTTGTTCTGTATGCCACATCACCCCTCTCACCCCCTCTCGTATCACACGTGTGAAAGAAACGACTTTGGGTTCATTGTTGTGAATTGTGTCTCCTGAAACCACCGTCTCACCTCCCCAACTCCCCGTCTCCCATCCCTGGGTCTCCACGTCCCCTGCATTCCCTCTCCCGCCATCTCTCCTCCCTGTGCTGTGCGCCTATCCATGCGTCCAGATCACCAAGGACAAGAAGGACTGCACGGTGGCGCTGGAGGCGGCAGCGTCCATGCGGCACGGCACGTCGTTCCTGCACGCGCCCGTCACCACGGCGGGGCTGGACGTGCAGTCCGTGGGCAGCAGCCTCGCGTACACGCTGCGCTCCGAGACCCGCTTCCGCACGTTCCCACACAACCGCACCACCGCTGGCATCTCCTTCACCACCTACGATGGCAGTGGGCTCACCACTGGACTCAAGGTGAGCACTTGCGCTGGGGTGGAAGAGAAACGATGGCGGGCGGGGGAGGGGAATAACGGGAGGATGGGTGGTTCTATGGGGAAATTGTTGGGTTGAGTTTGACGGTGCGTGTGGAAGGATTGGCGTGGCATGGGTGTTTGGGGATGGTGTTGGGATGCATATAGCAATTGATGGCACATGAAGTTGGATTGAGTGACACAATAAACCTCTTATACACATCGTCTAACCAAGAGCCATTTTTATTTTTCACACTTAATCCAAGGCAAGCAAGTTGAAAAGAACAAGACTTAAGTGCTGTCCCATTCGCAGTTGGCTGATCACCCTCCCTTTCTCACCTACCCTTGAACATTCTCTAAAGTGTCGGATGCACCAATCTTGGTCACTGACTGCTCTCTTCCCAACCTACTTCCTCATCCCCACACCTCATGCATCCCTGTTTCACTTCCCCCCCCCCCCCCCCCCCCACCCCCCTCCCCTCCTCCCACACCGATGCATGGCACGGCAGGTGGAGGACCGGTTGCTGGTGGGCAAGAGCGTGAGTCTCAACGCTGCAGCCGGCTTTGTGCGCTGCGGGCGTCTCATGGCCAGGGGGGCTAACTGCGAGGTGCAGGTAAGTTGCACACTCACGTGCCAACTGGTGCGGGTGGGAGGGGGGAAAGACTGGCGCGCCCTGCCGTGGCACGTCATCGCAGTTGAGGTTATAGTGGGATAGGATGGTGCGCGTGGGGATGGATGGGTGTGGGTGATCGGATGTTTTATGGTAAGGCTGGTGAATCCAGTGCCAGGCACTTGGCGCTGCAACGCATTTCTTGCACCAACTACCCACAGACTCCATACATTGAGAGTATAATGAACCTGCAATGATTTTGAAAGTGGCTGTAATGTCCAGTCGTTGATCCTTTGGTCTTGCCATTATGCCTTGTTTCCACTCGTGTGCTGCTGCTGCCCCGCTGGTTCACCAGGTGCGGCATCCTGACCATCCACTGGATCGTACCATGGGAGTGCTCGGGCTTACCCTCATGGACTGGCAGGTCAGTCAATAGTCGCATCCACATGGTGCCCTTCCAGCCGTCATCTGTGTCTTGTGCATGTTTTTCTCCCCTTTTTCACCCTTTTGTGATTACTTGGTCCTCCGACCACGTTACGTGGTGGTTCATCCTACATTGGTGCATGACATATGCTTTCCTCTCTGTCCTCCCCTTGCCGTTCAACCTCTGTCGCCTCCCTTTCCACAGGGCGATCTAGTGGTGGGAGCGAATGTGCAGGCGCAGGCCACAGCAGGCAAGACGAATCTGCTGTTCCGAGCGAATGTGAACAACCGCGCAGCGGGCACCATTTCGCTGCGAGCCACGTCCAACGAGCAGCTGCAAATGGCCCTCATCGGCCTCGTGCCGCTGCTGCGCTACTTCCTTGCTGGCGGCTTTCTGTTCGGCAACAAGGGCGATGAGATGGTGGACGAGGCTTAGGGTGCATGCTGCTGGGCTTGGTTTTCTCGTGGTTTCTTTGTGTGTTCTGCTCTGATGACATGGTCAGGCTGATGCAGATGATGGGAAGGTGGTGTTTTTTCTCAAGGATTGCTAGTAGGGAGATAGTAGATGCTGTGTGGCTCATGCTAATCTGCACCACCTTGGTATCCAGGCTTTAATCTCTGTAGGACAATTTTTTTGCAATCAACTCATGTACCGCCCTTGTTCTCTGTTCAGCTTGCAGTCAGGAGTAAATTACCGTATCTATCGATCCGTACTATGACGTGTTCCTGCGGCCTCTCATGAGGCGTGGCATGCTCGTGTACACGGCATTGGAGCACACCCTGTACTAATTCTTCTGGCAAGAGGGGTGTGTTTGAAAAGAGGCGTAGGAACTCGCCCCTATGTACTAATTCTTTGAAGAAAGGTGCAAGCTGAGGTGGATGCTAAAACCATGAATACCAGTTTATGATGTACACTGCAGAACTACGGTATCCTCGACCATAATTGAGCACAAGGATTTCTTCTGTTTAATTAGTAACCGAACCGAGCAACTTCTCCCGTTTGGTTTGAACAAACCAATACCTTGTGTGACACCGGTTACTAACGTCATCATAGGGTTCTCTAACAATACCAATGTTTCTCAGCCACTGCATCAAGACCTTCACTAAACAGCAGTTCTACACATGTAATGTAACTGCCCAGTCATGCATCCCACTGGTGGTTGCACTGTGTGCCTCAAGGCACACCAAGTGGTGCATCCTTTCAGCATGCCTGCGCCTCTCACACACATAAGAACACTGCACACAGCAACTGCTGCTCACATGCCTCTGCACGCCTCCACCACCTGCTGCTCCTCGTTAGCCTCATCATGCTGCTCTATCTACTGCTCACGCGTCCCACTGCATCGCACTGCTCCTCTGCCACTGCTGCTGCTACTCCTGCCACTGCTCCTGCCAATACTCCTGCAACTGCTCCTGTGCTGCTCCTGATACTGCCCCTGCTGCTGCTTCCTGTTGTCACCGCTGCCTGAACCAACTGCTGTAGCCAGTTGCTCAGGTTACCCAAGATAAGAACAGGCAACATCCGGCACAGCACTGACTGCCCTTCGCTGCCAACCGAAGATCCCTTGCTCTCCCCTCGCACCATCCTGATGCCATTCCGCAGCACAGGGTGCAGCAGCGCGTGGTACAGCAGGAACAGCAGCAACAGACGCAGCAGCAGGCCCAGTGGAGTGTGCAACAACAGCGTGTGGCATGCAGCAGCAGCAGCAGCCGCAGCAGGAGCAGCAGCAGCGGCAGCAGCAGCGGCAGCAGCAGCAGGGGCTGTGAGGAGCAGTGAACTCCCAACAGCCAATATGGTTTGTTTGCTGTGCTGGAATGATGGTTGAGGTCAACCCGGCTGAAGCCACTGCTCCAGGCGGCACCACCATCCCTGCCACTGCCCAAGCTCTTGTCCCCAATCCTGCCCTCCTTCCCCTGTGCATCCTTGAGTACCAATCACATCTTGTCGCACGTGGATGTTGATATTACCCTCGCATTCCACCCTGTAACTCTACCCGTTATACGACCCCTGCCTCTGCTGCTGCTGCGACGGCTGCTGCTGGGTGAAGTGTGAGTACGGCTGCGTGAACAGCTGGTTGCTGCCAAACGCCTGCCAGGGATGAAGTGACGGGGACACAAGAAGCAGGTGAAGAACTCGCAGAAAATGCACACAAACACAGAAACAAGGAGGGACCTAACACGAGATAACACACGGGATAACATGTGATGGGACCTGGCAGTGCTCCAGCATGGTGAAAGTGCCCCAGTCAAGGAAAAACAGGCACTTAGTAAAAATCCCAAAAGGGATACCTGAGAGGCGAAGTGCTGTGTGGAGGGGCCATCTGCAGGGTGGTGTGCGAAGGGGCCAGGCTGCTGTGACTGTGAGAGAGGGCGTGAGGGGAGGCCAAAGCCGAGGGACGGATCGGGCATGTGCGCATAGTTGAAGTCCTGTCAGGGTGCACAGGGACATGGAGCAGGGAGGGCGTGGTGTGACGCAGGTGGGGGGAGAGGGCAGGGGGGGAGAGGTGGGAGGGAGGGGGGAGATTAAGGGGGTTGAAGTACGCGTGGCATGCGAGGAGGAGGATGAAAATACATGAGGTGCAAGTGCTGCTGTAGCTCAGCTGATCTTACCTCCCCTCCCAGTGATGCTGAAATGGGATGTGAGACAGGGAAGATTTGAGTACGTGGGCAGAGAGCATATGAGCATGCAGGCATGTGGGCAGGTGCGCATGTGGGCATGCAGGCATGTGCGCATGGCAGCAGCGCACCTGGGTCATGAGGTCAGCAGGCAGGTTAGAGCCCTGAGAGTACTGTGACTGCATGCTGCCCCCCTGCTCCTGCTTCCCCCCACCAGACGAAGGCTGCCCCACACCCATGTGCTGCTGGTGGCGCTGCTGGGGCATGAGGTCCGATGATGGGTGGGAGAACCCTCCCTGCCACACACATGCACACACACGCACAGACGGCATGCATGGCACGCACATACAACACAGCACACATCGGATACGGTTGTTAGGCCACGGCAGACACATTAAGTGGGAAGGGAGAAGGATTATGCATTGGGCGAATCATGCAGCAGCAGAGGGGGATGCACCATGCTTGCTGCAGGCAGGCAAACGAGAAGCATGCAAGTGCGAGGCAACGCATGCAGGTGCAGCAAGAGGGGGAAGGGAGTTGGGTTGGGACGAGGATGTAAGCAGCTTTGCAGGGGGCGGGTGGGGAGGAGGCAAGGGCGGCATGCCTGCGTGTTGAAGGAAGCGAAGCCCAGCGAGCCCTGTGAGTTGAAATCGTCCCCTAAAAAGTCCTGTCATGCACACACACGCACCAGCACACGTGGGGGACAATGTGTGGGGAGGGGAGGGGTGCGGTGGTGAGAGAGGGTGGATGGGGATGGGAGTGGTGAGTGGGGCAATGGGGATGGAGACAGCATTCTAAGGAAATCTATGCATGAACGGATGTTAGAACAGAGTATGTGTGACGGGGCGGCACGAGCAAGGTAAGAGGGGCGACTGCAGGGGAACGGAGGAACGAGTAGCGGAGCGGTGGAGGGCGGCACCTGTGACATGGTGAGGGGGAAGAGATCGTTGTGTGGCGCCTGGCTGAGCGGCGCGCCTGCAGACCCGCCCTGACTGCTGCTGGGCGCCTGTGCGCATGGGCATGCCGTGCACGCACATGGGGGGAGGACAGACACACATACACACCAATTACAGAAACGGCACACACGGAGTAAGCTGCACAGGACAAGGCAGACCGTGTAAGCTGGCTGGCACTGCAAGGGCACTCATGCAGCAGCGCACTAGCAGAGAGCTCAGGGCACATGGAGAGAGATGAATGAGTGTGGTGCAGGGCTGCAAGCAGCATGGGCAGCAGGGGAGCAAGCAGAGAGGCTACACACAGCAGCGCACATAAACACTGCTGGTCTGCCCCTATACCACCCACCTGCGTGAGCATCTCCTGTTGCGAAATCCCTCCATCCATGCCTCTCCCTCGCCCCCCTGTCTCGCCCCTCCCATCCGCCACCACTCCCAGCCCCCTGCCTCCGCCTCCGCCTCCTCCCCTCCCGCCTGCGCCTCTGCCCATGCCAAAGCCCCTCCCCCCGCCCTGCGGCCCCACGGCCACCTGCTGCGCTGCCTGCCCCAGTGCGGGGCGTGTGGGGATGGCGTAGGGCTGCGCATATGCGCCCAGGGGGAAGGCCGGCAGGGGCATGCGCGGGGGGATGGGGCCATGGGGGGAGGCAGAAGGGGGGCCGCCGCGGGGGAAGCCGTTGGGGAGGTTCGGGGGGAAGGGGGCGGAGGGAGGGTAGGAAGGGCCGGGCATGCCAACAGGAGGCATGGGGCGGGCGGACGGGGGGAAGGGCGGGCCGCACGAGGGCGGGTAGGGGCGGGCGTGCGAAGGCATGGAGGGCACGGTGGGTGTGAGCGTGGGGACGAATGGCTCTGGTGCCCCCAGCGCCACCATGCCCGATGATGGCATGCGCCGGTCAAAGTGCGGCTGACCAGGCACAGGGACGGGACGGGGGAAGGGGGAGTCGCAGGGGAGTGGTGGCAGGGGGAAGGCAAGGGGGCATAGGGGAAAGGTGTCAGTGAGAAGCATGTTGCGGAAAGTAGAGAGATGCCGCTCACTGTTATCCCAATGCATGGAAAGCAAGCAGCAGTACAAGGAATTCAAGCGGAAATGCGTGAAGATTGAGAGAGGGAGGGACGTGCAGGGAGGCGAGGAAACCACGGGCGGGTGGAGCAGTGGAGGTGGGCGAGCAGAGGTGGGCGAGCAGAGGTGGGCGAGCAGAGGTGGGGGAGCAGAGGTGGGGGAGCAGAGGTGGGGGAGCAGAGGTGGGGGAGCGGAGCAGCACCTTGGAGGGCTTGTGGAACTGAACCATGCTCTGATTGAGGTTCGTGAGCGGCCCCTCCACCAGCGCCTCCCTCTCCTGCCCATACATCAGTGGTCATGGCACAGGCGACAGCAAGCAACACCCTTTGAGCAACGAGGCACCAAGATTGCATGCCACACACGGCCAACACCGAGACGAGGCCAAGACAACAGGGGAAAACTGGCAGGGAACAGTGCAGGCAAGCGAAAGAACAGGCAGGAGCAAGAGGGACGTGCGGTGCAGAAGCAGGGAGGCCAAGGAAGGGAGGGAGGATGTGGTTACCTTGAAGTGCGTGAGGAGCAGGTTCCAGAGTGGCTGCTTGGAGAGCACCTTGGCGTTGCCCAGCAGCACCACCCCGTACTTGGCCCTCGTCAACGCCACGTTCAGCCTCCGCGGGTCGTTCAGGAACCCAATGCCCTGCAGAAGGGTTGAGGGAAAGGAGAAGCAACGTGCGGGCGAGCAAAGGATGCAATTGAAAACGTAGTTGAGACTGCGCTTGTTTGGTGTGCAAAGGAAAAGCATCAGTGGAGACAAGAGTCATGCATGGTTGCAGGGAAAAGGAAAAGCAGGCCAGCAGATGCGTTGGGTGTGGGTGGGAGGAGAGTGACCTGATGCTCGTTGCTGCGCACGCACGACAGGATAATGAGATCCTTCTCACGGCCTTGAAATGAATCCACACTCGCCACCTGCACCCACCCGCGCACACCCACGTACCACCACAGCACCAGCACCACTTGTGAGAATGAGTCCACGCATTCCTCAACAACACTGCTGGATCGAGTTTTGAGTGTAACAACCGTGCACACAGCATATACAACCATGAGATTGCACAAACAACCCTTGTGTTCGTTCCAGCCCAGCTCGCCATGCCTGTAAGGGAGCCCACCTCAATGTCCTTGTACAGCTGCTGGCGCAGCGGGCCGTTGCGCGCCATGTGCGTCACAATGTACGCGCGCTGCCCCTCGTACGGCGTGATCACCCCTATCTGCCATGGGTTGAGACGGTGGCATAGGGATGGTGAGAGAGAAAAGGTGACAGTATGAAGACATAACAGCAATGGGGGGGTGAGAGAGAATGTCCACTCGCATCGAGGGCTGATGAAACACATGCTAGAGGGTGAGAGGTGTGGTGCACCGAGCAGACCACACAGGGGCTGGGCAAGAGCAGCCCAGGTGGATGGACATGTGTTGAGAGATCTCAACAGCCCACCTGGTGAGGCATGCATCCGTTGCGCAGGAAGAGCGTGACGACCTTCTCCACATGCGAGGCCTCGGAGCGGTTCAGGTACGACGTGCCACTCGCACTCATCTCCTCTTGCCCCAACTGCGGTCGCACGCCACCCAGACACACACACAGCATACAGGACAGAGAGGGAGACGTACAGAGAGGGAAAAGTAATGATGAGAACAACTTCCTAGGCAAGTCAAGATGTGAGGTCACAGGTGGGCTGGTGAGCAACTGAAGCAGTCATGCAGCAAACAAACGAAAGGCATATGCATGGATCCATAACCCATGATGGGGCCCATGCATGGGTAGCTGCTAGCATGGTCTGCACGTTGCAGCAGGCAGGCATGCATACACACGCACCTGCACGTAGAACATCATGGGGCGGTTGGGCACGGGCCAGGGGAAGTCGATGCCGGGCAGGCAGCGGTCGGCGTCCGCCACTCCGTTCTGCAGCGTGCCCTCGTAGAAGGTGTTGCTGGGGAACTCCGATAGACACGGGTGCATGCGGTACTGCACCTGGTGGCATGCGCGCGGGGCGGATGGAGGAGAGGAGAGTGGGAGAGAGGGAGGGGAAGAGTACGGGAGATGGAGTGAGAAAGAGGCAGAGTGAGAGGATACCTATACAGAGAAGGGGTGCAGTGCGGGGGGGGGGAGCGGGGGGGTGGGGTGAGAGAGGGGGAGAGGCGAGGCGATGGTGGTCACGACAAGTACGAACGAGGGTGAAGGGGATGTGAAGATGGTGTGGACCAAGGCGCGCCTTCGGACCAAGGCGCGCCTTTGGACCAAGGCGCGCCTCCGGACCAAGGCGCGCCTCCGGACCAAGGCGCGCCTCCGGACCAAGGCGCGCCTCCGGACCAAGGTGCGCCTGTGAACCAAGGCGCGCCTCCGGACCAAGGCGCGGGACCAAGGCGCGCCTCCGGACCAAGGCGCGCCTCCGGACCAAGGCGCGCCTGTGGACCAAGACGCGCCTGTGGGCCAAGGCGCGCTTGTGGACCAAGACGCGCCTGTGGACCAAGGCGCGCTTGTGGACCAGTGCAAAGCAAGGCGTGGTACCTGGAGGCGGATGGGCTTGACAGCGAGGAGCACGAGGCGCTCAAAGAGCGACTGAGCGAGGCCCGCCCTGGCTGCCTTCTTGCACATGATCACTGGGCCCAGCTGACAATGATCGCCCACCAACACCACCTGCCATGCTCACATGCACACACGCATGTACCCACACACACACACACACACCACACATGCATGCCACACGCACACGCCATGCATGTGCATGCACACGAAGATGACAGGTCAAGGAGGGGCATCGGTCAAGTCAAAGAGGTTCACATGTGCTACTGCATCACACTGCATGGCATGGCATGGCATGGCATGGCGTGACTGGGGCACAGAGGCTAGCGGAGCAAGGAGGGCGGCGCACCTGCTTGGCGCCCATGACGAGGGGGATGAGGCACTCAGGCTCCGTGGCCTGCGTTGACTCATCTATCAGCACCTGCCATGGGGTGGGGCATGGTACAGCACACGCACGAACACACACACGCGGAAAAAAAAAAATCATTATCCTCACATTCCGTGAGACAAAAAACATTCGGACGCGATCGGGGGGGATTCCACCCATGTCATGGCAGGCGCACCTGTCGAAAGCGGAAGTTGGAGAGGCGGGGGTCCCCGGCGCCGACACAGGTGGTGCAGATGACATCGGCGCTCTGGCAAATCTCCCTCTCTGCCACTCGCTTCAACGCCTTAAACTTCTTCTCATCCGCACTCGACAGCTCTCCTGCTCATGCACAAACCCATGCAGGAAGAACAGGGGTTACAGGGATCGCATTCAGGCACACCAGTGCAGTGCGGGCGGGATGGGGGACTAAGAGGAGGAGAAGCGCGGCAGGAAGAAGCAGAAAGAAATTAGTCTGCTGCTGGAATGGCAACATAGAGTAAGAAAGGACAAGGGGGTGCAAGTGGGGGCAAGAAAAGTGAGGGAAGGGTGCGTTACCCTGTTCCTCCTTGAGCATCATGAGCTTGTGCAGCTCGCCCTTCTCCGCCTCCTCCAGATTGCGCACCTGACGCTCCCACAGCCAGTCACACACAGCACAGCGTGCATGGGAAGACAGTTGCATGACATGCATTAGGGGGAGGAGCGATGCGAGGCTTCAGAGCGCAAATGTGGAGGGGGAAAGCAGTGGTAAAGCAGTGGCAAGAAGGAGGGGGCAGCAGGAAACAGGGAGCAGGCAGGGGGCGGGGGCGTACCTGGTGGTGCAGGGTGAGATGCTCCACAGGCGAGCTCACACTCTCCCTTGACTTGGCACACAGCCGCACCACCTGGTGGCAACAGCAGCACACACACATACACACACACGGACAGACACACATAATGAAAACAGCCTCGATCATACTCTTCTTGTCTGCAACTCCTGAGCATCATGAGCTTGTGCAGCTCGCCCTTCTCCGCTCATCATGAGCTTGTGCAGCTCGCCCTTGGCAAAAAATCTCACCGCTCCACCCACTATGCTCACTGTCTCCCATCCTTCCCATGGTCAGAATAATGGCCCCACAATGTGTGCGCATACCTTGATGCCTGTGATGCTGATCTTCTCTGCCAGCTGATCCACGGCCACGTTGCTGGGCGCGCACACCAGCACCTGCCCCTGCTCCTGCCGTGCCAAGTGGTACACTATGGCAGCTGACGTCACCGTCTTGCCCGTGCCTGGCGGGCCCTGGATGAGACTCAGTGGCTTCTGCAGCACGCTCTTTACCGCGGAGATCTGTGTGGGTGCACTCTCGCGCCACATACATGCACATGCACACATGCAGCCACGCCACCCCCACCCCTTCGCCAGCGCACACACACACAAGCAGACACGCACGAAAACAGGCATCCGCATGCAAATCGCTTTCCCCCACAACCACACACCACGCACACACCAAAACAACACAAGACCAAGCACGGTGAGACGCCAAGGAGTTGACTACAAGAAGAGTACAGTCGCCAGCACTGCATACGACACACAGCAGGGCACCTTGTCCCAACCAACAAGACAAGGCCCGGAGGGAGCGGTACGGGGGGCGCACCTGCGAGTGGTTCAGCTCGGGCAGGCCTGGCGCGCCAAAGCGCTTGGGCATGACGTTGCGCACCGTGTGCGGCTCCACATCGTGGCCCAGCAGCCGATGGTAGATGAACCTGTGCGCAGGCAGCACAGGGACGGCGCAGGGGGTCGGTGGGGTGGGTGGGCGAGACATGTGACGGCACGGGTCGAAAGCACACTGAAGGACGAACAGAATGAAGAAAGGGGGAGGGGGAAGTGGAGGAGAGAACTGGAGAGGCGAGTGTAAAGAAAGAGGGTTTGAACTGGAAGGCGTGGTGGTGGGAGAGTGTGTGGTGGAGCGGAGGCAGGAGCACTGACCCGGAGACGGAGGTTTCATCGACGGCGAAGAGCTTCATGGCGGCCTGCATGCGGTCAAAGGAAGTGCTCTTCCACACAAAGTCCACACTGAACCCGTGCGTCACCTCCACTGGCGCCCCCTGCTCATCACACCCCATGCACCCACACACACACACGCACATGCCCACACATGCAACATGCCGGGAAAGTGAAACGCGCGCAACCAGGACGGGATTGTTAGAACCGGTAATGTATGTAACAAAATGCAGATGCAAGCCGTGGTAGCAGAAGTGAGCAGGAGAGGAATGAGTGGGAATGGTGGTTATGGTTAGCGTAACCCAGGCATGCATGCATGCATGCATGGAGGGCGCAGCAGCTCACCTGGCCTGCTCGCAGCTCCACCGCCACCTCTTCCTGCGGCGTTAGCTTGATCTGAAGGGGCACACGCGGGTGGGAGAGGAGAGGTGGTGGAATGAGCAATGGCAACGGCAAGTCACTCAGTGAGCAAAACGCATCACTTGAGCATGGCTACCGAGACTGTGATTGAAGGAGGAGGAGCCGGAAATGTGCTAGGTTGCCCAATTCCTAGTCCGTCTCGTCTGGCCAGGTGAGTCTCCTCTGGCCTCGTCTGGCCGTTTGAGAATCAGATGATGTTGGACCTGCGTGCAGGCCAGGGTGAGTCTCCTCTCCTCCTCTGCAGCAATTACTCCCCTTGACCTTCCATCTTCACATGCCAACTTTCATCCTCTCTATTGAGACGGGCATTGCCTCACCCTCTTCCCCAACCCCCACCCCCTTTCATCCCCTCCCCTTGCGTTTTCTCATTCTGAAACTATCATCTCTCCCCTATTGCATTTGAGATAAGGCAACCCCCCACACGCCATTTCTCAAACCGCATCCCATGGAGTGGCACCTGGATGGCTACGGGCTACAACTGCCCTCTCTGCTTCTGCCCTACTTGATGAAGGGCAAGAGAGGACGGCTCACCACGTGGCCGACGGACTGCCATGCGGGGTGGATGGGATCCCCTGGGTACTTCAACCGCAGCTCATCTCCCGGCACCAGACGCAACTCACTCTCCTCCTGCACTCACACACGCACACACAGACGATTGCACACCCACACACATGCACATGCACACACGCATGCCCATCATCACACATGCACACGCACACGCACATGCAACACATGCACAGGCACACAGGCAAAATGTAGAGAACTTTTACGCTTTACCGACAGGAGCAGCAAGCAAAGAACTTCTATGCGTTGACGAAAGGGGCGAGCAGGTGACGTGGGGAGGGAGAGGCACCTTGGGGAAGACGAAGTAGGCGACTCTCTTCTTGTTGAGCCCCACGTCCCAGCGCACTGTGATGTTGTCCTTGGTCTGTGCCTCCTTCATCATCTGCTCCCCCCAGTCACCGCCACACACCCCATGGCCGACCAGACACAGTGAAGCGCTTGCAAAGAGGCAGATGCATGGGCACAGATGGCATCCATGTCCAGCAAGGGAGACGAATAGACAAAGCGAGCAGAAACTACATGGCAACTGGCGTGAGCAGCAGCAGGTGGCAAGAGCATAGCAGCAAGTGTGGTGAGGACGCTCACCTTGTCATAATCCGCCTCCAGCTTCACCAACGGGCCGAACACGTTTTGGTACTGCACGTCACACATGGGGGTGGAGGGGATTCAGGTGCACACGCAGCACGCGGGGATGGTGGGGGAAAGGGGAGTGAAGTTATAGGCGGCTGAGGGTGTGGGGAATGAATACCAAACTAGACAGCCTTGACGCATCAGGCAGAACAAGGCAATAGCTCCACTCGATTAACCCGAGAAAGTGCAGAGCAGAGCAACGTGCTCTTCTGCCAGTCCCCTCGCACCACTCCCTGCCCTTGCGCCTTGCACCCACCTGGTAAGCATCTTCGTATTTCAGCGCCACGGGCTGCGGCTCGTCGTCCACACCAGGCTTGTCGAGGTCGTCGAGAGAGGCGGTGGGGTTGGTCTTCCACAGCTCCTCCAGGCGGTTCACTGCCTGCGCGCTCAGGTGCCGCGCGCGCAGCTGCTCCTGCTCTGATGGCACCTGCGCTTTCACGCACCGGGCGGTCGTGAGATAGGCGGCACGCGCGGTGTGTGGCGCGTGCGAGGGGTGGAACAACGGAGACAGAAGGAGAATGGCATAGAAGAGACAACGGTGGGCGGTGAGGAGTGAGGGGTGACGGGAGGGCGGTGAAGGGCAAGGGGCGAGGGCCGAGGGGCGAAGGGCGAGGGGCAGCGGGCAAGGGGAAAGAGGCAGCGGCTTGTGGTTGCGGCGCACCTTGACGAGCCAGGAGAGGAAGCAGCGGTCGTGGATGAGCGGCTGCCACTGCAGCAGGTCCCAGTTCATGTCCTTGAGCCCGTTCACGGACAGGCACGGCTCGCGGCACAGCAGCACCACCACCGACTCCGCTTTGGCGGGGATGAAGCCCAGCAGGAACGCGTTGCGACACCCGCAGTTGTAACACTCGAGAATGGTTTCGCCCAGCGGGCTGTCCCGGTGCAGGCACACCTCCTTGTGCTTCGCGCGCACCTGCAGCGCGCAGGCGTGGGGTTCAGAGCGGACGGGGCGCTTGGCTGACGCCAGACGGCCACGGCACTAGAGCGCAAGGGGTCCTACCCGCGAAACGACGGCGCACGGCCCCACCGGCGTCAGCGCACTTCGTAAAATACACAAACAGATGAGATTTGCAAAGACAACGGACCAGGTTCCGAAACAATCAGGGTATGATGCGCGACCGCGCTAGGGTGGTGAGTCGGCGGGAGCGCGACGGACAGGAGAGGCGCTTACGAGGTGGTTAACGATGTGCGAGCCGGACGTGTTGCCGCGGGAATTACAGAACCACTTGCGGCACGTGGGGAAGTTGCAGCGCACGACGCACGCGGGGTTATGGATGCCGCAGTACTTGCACGCGTGCTCCGGTAAGTCCGTGGCGGGGAAATCCATGGCGTCCTCCTCGCCCATCTCGTCGAAGCTCAGATCGTTCATCGTCGCGCTCAGCGCATCCGCCGCTGCCACGCCGTTCCCACCCGCTGCGCCGGCCACGCTCGCGCCCATCCCCGCCCGCCCTGCGTCGTCCCTCGCAGACAGACCATTTTCCGCGAACGCGCCGGCCTGACTCGCGGCGTCGTCCTTCCTATACGCTGCTTCCGCTCGTAACGCGTCTGCGGGATCCGCGGAATTCGGCGGTCCTAAGTGCGAGTCCACCCATCCGACACTCCCGACGCCGTCCGGGCGCGACGGCTGGCTGAGATCGTGGAACTGCGTGGCGTACTCGTACTCCGCGTCCTCGCCCTGCGTCGAAAACTCCAGGAATCGCAGCGGGTCGCCGGCACCTCGACCTTGAGTGGAATCGCGCTCGCCGTATAGACCCTGTGAGTGCATGGGCTCCTGTGACAACGGCTCGGCCATAGTGCTTTAATCGGCTACAAGCCACCAGGTGTTATCAAGCAGCGCGATGCGAGAAACTAGCTGCAAAAGGAGTAAGTGCGCCTTGAGCACGAGAATCAGCACGCGAGTATGGCGCCTCGTGGGAGCAATCTGTCATAAGCTCCGTACCTGCGAACTCGAAACCCTAGATCCCGAATTTGCTGGGTAGAGGGCACGAGAGCCACATATCATCCTTGGTGGCGATGATTACCCCAATCGAAACAAATCCCTGGGGGATTGCGGTCTCACTGTCTCACCTGCTAGTGCGACACGAGGCCAATACCGTCCTGAACATCACTTGATTCCTCAAATGTCATTATAACTCGAAAGCAGCATAAATAGCAAATACATATTTACAGGAACTGAGTCAATGCGGTTATGGTTCTAAAAAGTAGCCTGCACAGCACACTCCACACGGTGGGAGGTGTCGATTAAGGTGTCAGATATGCCCGCTTGCAGCTGTGTAAGCTTTGACTGCTTCCACAATGGGTGCACGGCACATGGGGCAGTTCTGGTCCCGCCTCTTGAGCTCGTTTGCACACTCCACACATGCACACATGTGACCACACCTGCAAGCAAAAACTCATTGGAGCAATGAGCCTATGACAGAAGAATGGACTGTCCTGGGTACCATAAAGCGTGTGGATCATCTACCGGTAAGATGAAGGTGATATTGAGTCATACCGATACAGCAAGCAGTCAATGGGTTTGTCGCAGCAGACACAGCAAGTGCCGGAGCGAATGAGAGCCCATTTATGTCCATCCAGTGCCTCCTGTGGCACACCTGTACATCATAGACACAGTAAAAAATAAGATTAACTGGATGCTGAGGCAACTGCCTTGCAAATAACCATGCAGCCATATGGCAAGGCAGAAGCCAGAATGATTTGCAAAACACAGATGCAATCACCGGGAGGGATGCCTGCTTGTGGGGCCACGAGCAGGGAAACGGACCTCTGCCGGAGTCATAGACGCGGCGCAGTGCCCCGGCTAGCTCCTGGCGCTGTGCGCGCAGCAGCTCAGACATCATGGAGAGGCACACCTCCATGGCCTGCTCCACACGCTGCATCTGCTCCTGCATCCTCGCCTCCATGCCCCTCACCTCGTCACGCACCTCCAACCACCCCTGTGGCACAGCAAGGCACGCAGGGACCCAGGACAGAGATTAAGGGGCATGGCGGAGCATTGGTGAGAGAGCAGAGGGGATGACAGGAGAATTAGAAAAAAACAGAGCATATCTATGAAACACGTGGTGTGGGAGTGACAAGAGCAGGGTGGCGTGGGCTCACATGGTCCATGTAGCGCTGTGTGTGGTGCTGGTTGAACCCTCCACCATATGCATGTGCCCCTCGCACTCCCATCCCTCCACCCATGGGCGGGCCAGCAGGAGTGTGGAAGGGCATCTGCCAGAGGGGAGTCTGGGGAGGTGGGGGAGGGATCGGTGGCCGGCGACCTGCAGTTGCACGAGCTGGCACTTCTGATCCCCCGCCCTCATTCCCATTAACTTGGCCTCCGTTCAGTTCCTCCTCCCGCTGCTGCTGCTGCTGCTGCTGTCGCCGCTGCTGCCTCTGCTGCTGTCGGCGCTGCACAGGGGTTATAGCGGCGGCGGGCGAGGGCACGACGGTGGCAGCAGCCAAGGGCCTTCGCAGCGTGATGAAGGAGTGGATGAGATGCTCCAGTCGATGGCGGAACTCCGATGTCAACAGCGTTGTCACACTGCGCCTGTGTGCACAAACAGGGACCAAGCATGAGAGGGATCCCATACAGGGTGTGGGAAAAACGGTGCATGCAAGGGTTGCAAGTAGAGGAGCCATGCAGCGAGACAGTCGTAACAATATGGTGCTTACCTGCTGAGCAGCTCTTGCAATTCCTCGTTGTATTCTGTTAGGGGAGGCGCGCCAAAGGGAGGAGGGGGAGGGGGAGCAGGCGGCAGCAGTCGGGGTCCCCTGCCAGGAGTTCGTGCACGCGCCAGCGATGTAGGTTGAGGAGGCAGTGGAAGGGGTGCAGGTGATGGCAGGGTGGCGCGATGAGGGGGAGGGACACCTGCGCTTGCGACATGAACGGGTGCAACAGGGGCGCCTCCAGCAGGAAATGCGCGTGCCCATGGAGCCTGTCCCTGTGGGCCACTTGGATTGCCTTGAGCAGGTGTGTTCAACTGCTGCTGCTGCTGCTGCTGCTGCTGCTGCTGCTGCTGCTGTGAAAACTGTCGCAAGTTCCGTTGCTGCCATGCACGTGTTGGGCCAAGAGCAATCAGGCTCTCCAAGTTGGATCTGAACTGGGACCTGGCAAAGGGTACAATGCAAGGGAAAGTGCACAGAGGTGTGGGATGTGCACGGTTGGTGTACTGGATCATGGAAAACAACACAGCAGGAACCAGCACTCCTTAACAAGCCTCAATAACAATCTCCTGCAATCACCGTACTTACTCGATCCCAGAAACAAATCGGTGCGTTCGCAGTGCTCCTATTTCCTCCTGCGCCTCTGTCATCTGTGTCTGCTCTTCGTTCTCATCCTCCACCTGCTCCTGCTGCACCAGCAAGTTCCGGCGCTGCATCCACGCCTGCAGGGAGCGGAGTGAAAGATGCAGGTGAGAATGTGATGAAAGGCATGCACGGCTAGGGCTACGCAGGCTAGCACCATGACGGACTCGGGGTTCTGACAAAACGGTGTGCTTGTATACGAGCGCGGGCGGTGTGTGCGTTGCTAATGGGATACCTGGATCCGATCACGTGAGGATGACTCGGTGACAGCTCTGAAGGAGAGCAGTGCTGCTAGCTCCCGCTGCCGCTCCCTCTCCACCCGCAGCAGCAACTGCATCAGACGCGCCTCCCCGTCCATGCTCCCATCCAGCTGCTAGTCACATGGAGGGGCGCAGAAGATGAAGGTTATGATCTGACACAAAAGGAGCAACAGCGAGATGCAGAGACAGGGCCGTACGCAAGCTTGCTTCGGTATCCACACACCTCCATAGTGCTGTCGGCACCCAAGACAGCGCTGGGTTGCACAGCAACGGTGGCTGCGAGCGGCGCTGTGGCTCGTGGTGATGGTTGGGAGGATGACAAGTTGCTGCTGCCGGGCGAGGCAGATAAGTAACCTGGCGAGCGACCGCGCACAGACCCACGGGAGCCTGTGCTGCCCGCCGTTTCGATCCTCTCCATCGCACCCCCGTTTTGCACCTGAATCCCCTCACTTGTGTGTTCCGCATCACTCTCGTGCACCTCCTCAGGGCTTCCTGTCTGCCCGACCGGGCTATAAGCAGGCAGAGGCTGCTCAAGAGGCGGCCACATGTGCATCACAGACGCGTCTGGATGGTCGGGTATCGCATAGTTTGCTGGATCCTCAGGGGGAGAGCGGGAGGCGATGGGAGGCGAGGAGCGAAAGGCGTCATCGAGCACGCTGGCGGCATGCAGTTCTGCCAGTCTCAGTAACTCCCGCTCCCTCGCCTCTCGCTCCAGTGCGAGCCTGATCGCCTCCGCATCCGCCTGCACCTCGTCCCACCGCTGCTGTGCATGAGCCACATCTCCTTGCGCGGGGGACGACGACTCATTCCCACTCCCTGTCGCGTTGCTACCCACATCAGAGACAGCGATGCCTGCTACAGCCGCAGCTGCCGCCGCTGCGGCTTCAACGTCTTCAACGGTCGGTGCGACGCCATTGTGCCTCTGGGCGGAAGAACCAGCTAATCCAATGCTGTCAACAGCAGGGATGAAACCGTGGTTCTCAACGTTACTGTCAGAAGCATCACGAAGCAGCGATGGCAGAGAAGGATCATCCATCGTCATGCCGACACCGCCACGGAGAGCGGTCATGCAGCAGCTGCTACCGGCTCCATCAGAAGCCGTCCCACTGCTTTCAACACCACTGGAACTGCTGTTATTTGCGGAGTCGGCGGAGCCGACAGCACTGGCAGACGGGACGCCACTCTGAGATGGTCCCTCAGCGGCTAGTGGGTGGCTCAAGTAAGGATGGGGATGTTGAGTGGCCGGGCCGCAGTTGGCAAGGGCCAAACACGTGTTAAGGTGGTCCTGAATCAGCTCTTCCAGGCCCCTGCAGCAGGGAAAAGAATCCTCAAGAAAGATTAGGACTACATGGTGGGACGAGATTCAAGGGCGAACAACCAAGATGCCACGAAGGGAGCAAAAGTGGGTTAAAAGAAAAAAGGCAGAATGGAGGGGGAAGAGGGACCACGGTCTTGAGCCCACCTACGGAACGCGGCATCCGCGTTGGACACAGCGTGAGCTTCTGAGAGCCGCATGAGGTCTTGCTTCTGTTGAACCTGCTGCAGCTGCAGCAGCTCGGCCAGCTGTCTGTCTGCCTCTGCAATAGCCGCCTCCATGATATGCTGAGAAAAGGATTTCGTTTTCGTTGAAGAACCTGAGATGTGGCTATCGTAGCTCGTTTATGGGCAATGAGGCTTGAAAATGTGAACTATCGGCTGCTTTGAGACCTTTTGGAGGTGCTGCTAGCGCCCGAGCTCGTGGAGAGGTGCTTTGAGACCTTTTGGATGGGATGCCTGCGGTTTGCGGAAGGATCTTGTGTTTTGGAGGAGGAAAAATAGTCAAGCGGTCAGAAAGTAAAGGAAGGTGCTTGGTTTCTCGAGATGAATTATGTTGCTTTCTAGTTCTATGTTTCACAACCATGGGTTCAAATATGTTGGTTTCTAGTTCTAATCTGCCCGACTGTTTGACAGGCCTGTCGAAGTTCCTGGGGCCCATACTTGCGCTTCCCAGCTCCTCCCCATCTGACCCTGTTTTTGGTGTAGCTGAGCGTTTGGGCACCCTTAATGGTCACGGGCGCACCCCAAAGTGAAAACTTGAAATCCGGACTTGTGAAGAGTTTGCACTTAGACGCTAAGGGAAAATTCGGGTGCTCGAAGCTGACTAAGACACTTTATAAACACAGGATTGGCTAGAAAACGCAAGGGAAAAATCTACTCCTCTCGTGCAACCTAAGGAGAAGGAGGGGGGGGGCACTTAGGCGCTAAAGGAAAATTCAGGTTCTCCAAGCTGACTTAGACACTTTATAAACACAGGATTGGCCAGAAAACGCTAATAGGAAAAATCCACTCCTAAGGAAACCAAAGAGGGAGGGGGGGGGCAGAATTCGGGGGGGGGGGTCTTACAACCGGAAACCAAAACTTTGAGACAGGGGAAGGCCTGGTTTGGGTACTTAACGCATCCGGGGAAGGGTCGAACGAGGCACTTAGTGGCACGGGTGCTGTGCGAATCTAACACTTTATGCAGTCGAGCTGGAGCGAAAGTAACCCTGAATGTTCAGGGCATTAAGGGCATATGCCCTTGAATAATCAAACAGTGTTTGATCAAGCCGTCAAGCCCAAGGCACTGCCAGTTGCCGTGCACTGGAGAATTACGAAACTTCGATGTCTCACCCTGGGTTTATGAACAGCGCATCTGGCTGCCGAGCCACGAAGTCAATTGCCTCGGGTTAGGGTGGACTCAGGTTAGGAGATCCGGCCCGGAGATGCTCGCGCCAAACAGAGATGCTTGCGCTTCAGGTGAACCTAGATGTCATCTTTGTCAGCTGAGAGATTCAGCAGTTTGGTCCGATGTTCCAAACCATAAAGGTCCGTCGTGTTTGGCAGCCAAGGCAGAATCAGCCATACCAGACACGAAGCTTGGGAAAACCAGCCGAACTGCAAGGTGTGTGGAATCGAATGTCGTCTCGAGGGAATACCGTACCTCTTTTCTGGTTCAGCTCGTTCCCCCCGAGCGTGTGCCACGAGGCTTGGGTTGGTTTGGGAGACCCGGCCTGGACGTCTGTTACAGAGAGGGACAAAAATGCGAGTGGTCACTATGATGGGCCTCAATAACGCGTACAGTCAGTATTTCACTTTAGGGTACCTCTGCTTTCGCATGTTTGGTTACAACACACTGGTGAATATTCTCTAGAAATGGTCCAGGGAAAAATGTGCTCAACTACCTGTAATGCACCTCTAAAACCATCGACCTATCTAGCTGTGCCCTTGTGTGATCTCAACCCAGTTTTATCCTAACGAGCAGCAAGTATTTACATCTCACAGACCTGCATCTTGGTCTGCTCTTCATTGCAGGTCCCGTCACCTTACGGTAAGCTAGAATGATAACTGCTGGCATGGCTGTCTTGGTGGGTAAGAAAGAAGTGTAAATGTATATTTCATTTACACATGTGTTGTGGCCAAGAGGAAGCTGTGCCATAGGAAACTGTAAAAACTCACTGATGCATCCAGCTGACTGCACAACTTTGCTTCACGGTGTAAGGTCTTGCTTGGAAATATGCCCCACCACCCCAGCAGGTTCAGGAGTGAGATCTTAGGGTGCATTCCTGTGGGGACACTTGTGTCTCAATCCCCGTTTTCCCAAGTTGCGCCTGTTAATTTTCCCAATGTTGTGTCACAAACATCGAATGTACCGCGACGTAAGGCGACAGACTGGCAGGTTCAATTGGACACGTTTCATTGGCTGCGATCAAAAAGAGATGTACAGTTGTGTACATTTGACTGGGTGACAGTACACGCGTATTTTCGACCTCCGAACAGGGGCGTGGTTTCAATGCGCGGGATCCTTTCCCTTGCAAAATTGGCATTTTCGGATGTCCAGGTGCATGTGGTCGTGTCGGGCATTTCAAATCGCGTGCGATTCTTTGACATTGACGGGTCGTTTCACAATTCGTCAGCGATGTCAACGTGTTTCACGCTGACCAGTAATAAATACAGTACAAGTCACTTAAAGCGATTCGCATTTGGGACACAACACAGTTTATGTTGTTTTTGGGTGTCACTAAGTGATTGAGACACAAGTGTCCCCACAGGAATGCGCCCTTACATTGTTACTACCGTATGGCCCCGGATATAGGCGCCGGCCTATTACAGGCGTCGGCGCTTCTATCTGGAGCATGGCGCTTATGGCCGAAACTCGATTATAAGCGCACCCCCTGAAAAACAATTACTTATTATAAGCGCCCCCCATTTATAATTTAAATTCTCAGTTTAAATCGGTAACGAATTTCAGCTTTGCAGCGAGTCAAAACTCAATTTCGCTTCGTTTGACTCGCGAAGACCTGACTGGCTGCGCGTCCAGTCAGGATGTGCTGGCATGCCTGCAAAGTGACGCGAATTTGCCCGTGTACAGGTAGCAGAATTGCTTGCGCGCGATTCTGCTTTTTGACGCTTTTTTATTTCGACTCGTTTGAATTGGCAACAATGAAAGGTACAGTTTGGTACCTTTAATGTATAATTTTGTATTTGTCATTATATAAGCGCCGGCGCTTATGGCCGTTACTCAATTACAAGCGCCACCCCTAAAAATAATGAACTTATTATAAGCGCATATGCGCTCATATCCGGGGCCATACGGTACGTACCAATCTGGCTGGCTCGTTGGTACAAAGATGTCAATGGCAAGGCATTCACCTGCCTTGCACTTGACTTGATCCCACGAGCTTAGGCCTAAAAACATTCACGGTTTGCTGTTTTGAGTACCATACAATGCTTTGGAGGCATTGACCCCCTTTCTGGCTTCCTAAAAAAAACTGTCGAGCCATGGCGGAAAGTCGGCATTGAATGGGGGAAGTGGACATTTTTGCTTGTTTTTATATCCATAGTTGAGCCCGATTTTGGCCCAGAAACGGATATACTCAGTTTAAATGTCCAGCACAAACCAACTCCTAACTTTGGTAACTGCGGATGGTACCAGGAGACTGACAAGGGGGGGCTATGTGCGAGGACAAGGAGAAAGTGGCAGTGGGAAGAGAATGGAGATGCACTGAGTGGAGGAGAGAACAAGGGGAGCAGATAACGTGTGAAACAAGGACGAGGTTGATAGATGGAGGAAGAACAAGGGAACGCGACCAGGATAGAGGTAAGATAGGGGATCGGGGAGGAGATTGAGGGAGAAGGAGACGGAAGACTGGGATGGAAAGGGGAATGTTGACAAGGTAAATGTACACTGAGTGAAAACAGAGGGACACGGATTGACATGACAAGTGAGAACGTGGCTGGTGGAGAGGAGACGGGAGGTTAGGCAGGAGAGGTGGAAGACAGGAATGTGCACCAACAGAAGTGCAGAGGAAGATGGTGGACATGGGGTAAAAGATGGGCATGGAGACGGGCGTGACACAAAGAAAGAGTTGTACTGCGCAATGCTGGTGATTTGTGAATCGATTGGGTGGTCTGTTCTGATTATCCGGACAACCTTTTTGGCTTGCAAACGAGCAAGGGAACGCTTGATGAAAGTAGGAAAGATTCAAATATAGCCAGCCAACAGGGAGTTTCATTGTCACACACAAAAAAACGAGAACGGGTTTGAACCCAGGTCCTATGCTAAAAGAAAAGCCATTCAAGACCCTGCTCCTCGATCCCTCACCATAATAGACGGGCAGTTAGTGGCCGCCGACAGGACCTTCCATAGCCGCGCAACCGATCAAGCTGGCCACGTCATTACGGCACTGCTGGGAACTATGAACAGCGAGGGATAAGAGAAAACTGGAATTGGGATGGGAGAAGGCAGGGGGGCGAAGGAAGAGCGGCGAGCAGGAGCATCTCAGTCGACGAAGTTTAGTTGCGCGGGCATCTCGTGGATGCAGTCGTCCCACGGGCCCACGTTATCCTCCGGCTTGATCCGGCGAAGGGCGCGCCACACCGCGCTGTTGCACTTGAACCCGCTGCCGAACGCGATCTGCCACACGCGATCGCCGCGCCTGACGCGGCCCTTGGCCTCGGCGTAGGACAGCTCGTACCAAATGGAGGAGGAGGAGGTGTTGCCGAAGCGGTACAGCGTCATGCGCGACGGCTCGATGTGCCACTGCGACAGCTGCAGGTTCTTCTCCAACTCGTCCAGCACGGCGCGACCGCCCGCATGGATGCAGAAGTGGTCGAAGGCGAGCTTGAAGTCGGGAATGTAGGGCTTGAGCTTCATGCGGAACACCTTGCGCCCCACCAGCACGGCGAAGAACAGCAGCTGCTCCGACAGCGGCAGCACGAGCGGACCCAGCGTCGTGATGTTGGCCTTGAGCGCGTCGCCTGCGACGGCCATGAGATCGCGCGACAGCGACACGCCGACGATATTCTCGTCGTCCTCCTCCTGGAAGACGCACCGGTAACACTTCTCGTCCGCTCCCATGTGCGTGCGCACGCAGTGCACCAGCTCGTACTTGGACCGGCGGCGCTCGCTGCGCTTGTTCGTGAGGAGCATGGCCGCTGCGCCGATCCGGAAGATGCAGTTCGGAATGAGCATGGATTTCTTGTTGCCGAAATACAGGTTCTGAGTCATGTTCTCTGTGGACACGACCACCGCGTAAGAGCCGCCGTGCACCTGCAGCAAGTCGCGGGCGAGATCAATGGAGATGACACCGGCGCTGCACCCCATTCCTCCGAGGTTGTATGACCGGATGTTGCTGCGCATCTCGTACTTGTTGACAATCATGGCTGACAGCGACGGCGTGGGGCAGAAGACGCTGCAGTTTACGATGAGGATACCCACGTCGCGGGGCCTGATGCCCGTCTTGGTGAACAGCTCGTCAAGCGAACCGAAGATCACCATCTCCGCCTCCTTCCGCGCCATGTCCAGGGACGGGTTGGGAGGGATGTTGATGAAGCTGGGCGGGAGGCACGTGCGATCGCCAAGGCCCGCTCTCTCTAGAATCCGGTTTTGAAACTCTAGCGCCTTATCGTTGAACTTCTGCAGCTTTTTGGCGTGATCAAGAGCCCCCGAAAGTGAGAGAGCGAGGTGGTCCGGAGGCTTGAAGCAGACGAAGTCCACAAGGTAAACGGGGCGTGGTCGGAGGAGAAGATACGAAGTCGCGCCGAAAACAACGGCGGCGAAGCACACGACAACGCTGACCAGGTTCAGTTGGAGATGCTGCCACAGCTCCAGCAGATCGTCGGGCTTCATCCGAAAGATCTCCACCGCCACGGACGCGAAGAGCGGAATGAGGAGCAGAGGGAGCCCATGAGTGATGAGATAGTGATAACCGAGCTTGACATGGCTGAGGTTGACACTCTGCAAGAAATCTGGCAGCACACGGCGATTCACCGGAATGGCGACGGCTTCCGGCTTAGTCGGTGATGCAGCGGGTATATTTGGGAGTGAGGATGAAAGCAAGGGCTTCGCTTGCTCTTGGGACGCAGTAGACGGAGACATGGCGTTGGGTGGTCGGGCGAAATGGCCCGCTCAGTTACCTCAATGCGAGTGACTTGGTAAACTGAGGTTTGGTGAGGGCCATATGGTTGAAGATCTGACTAATGTGCAGACCCGAGGGACTCAAAACCTCGAGAACAAGGGCCCAGCGTCAGATTCAGCAGAACAGGCCGACGAGATCTAGAATTGCGCGCGCTTGAGCGGGAGGGGGAGGAGGAAGGTAGGGAGAGAAAGCCACGTGTTGGTTTGTCACTGTACTGAATTGAAAAGAAGCTCTTGAGGAGGCACTGTAGGGGCATGAGATGAGTGATTGTGAAGCGCTCCCTCTTGCTAGGAGAAGCGCGGGAAAAAAAGGGGGGGAAGCATTTGGTTTTGGGGAAGCAACGAACCAAGGCCAGGAGATCTTCGATGGGGAATGCAGCCTCCTCTCTCCATTCCACCCCACCCCACCCCCAGCTCCCCGAAAACTGCCCTTCTGCCTATCAGCTTGTAGATCCAATTCTAGCGACGCCGTCGAACTGGAGTGTCAAGGCTCACAATTAGGGCACATGTCGGTCAGCCAATCAAAAGGCAGCTTGGTCCTGCCGAAATCCGCGCGTGACTGGTGGTCGTCGATGTTTTCTTCACTCCAGTTGGGGAATGTGATATTGTAGGGCATTCCAGGATTTTACCACTTCAACCAAAGCATCTTTGAGGGCCTCATCCACACACCCCATGCGCTACGACTTTTAACGATTATCAGGTCTTTGGACGACAATTTTTACAAAGTAGGAAATCTAAATGTGTGCTCCTCCGAATCCACGATTGGGGCAAAAATGTCCACGTCACTTCGCGACTTAGAATCGACGGCCGAAGGCAGGCATCGCGAATGCTGATGTGAACCTGGGGATCACACACACAGTGAAGACTGCATGGGATAATGCCTCTGTACATTGTATTGTAGGGATCTGTGTGCAGCTCGTTTCAAATGTTAAAACCAGGGTGCACATTCAACGCGGTTCGGCTTGAGATGTTGGGAAGGGGGTTTGGAGAAAAACAGTGATTGGCTCACGAGGGGCGACAAAAAAATGATTCCGCTAGAGCTTCGGGCATTTCGTAGGTGGCGGGAGGGGGTGAAATGGCGGGAGTGGGTGAAACCGAATGGCGGGAGGGATGAAACAGATTGGCGGGAGGGGGGGGAAACGAAATTGCAGGGGAGGGGGTAAACAAAATTGCGGGGGAGGGGGGAAACGAATTTCGACGGGGAGGGGGAAATGAAATTGCGGGGGCGTGGGGAAACGAAATTGCGGGGGAAGGGGGAAACGAATTTCGACTTGAAGGGGTTGAAAGCACACCTCGTAACCCACTCAGTCAAGGGATAACCTTTGATGCACATTCAGCTGAATGTGCACCCCGGTTTTAACACCGATGAAAGGCTTCACAGCGAGACCCACGAGTCTTTACTAATTCATTAGAAATGCGTGCCTCATTTCGCGCATTTGATACATCACTACTCTTAAAACCGGAGTCCCAAACAGCCCCAAAGTGCCTCAACCTTCCTCACTTTGAGAAGGGGTGACGCAGTAGGTACGACTCACTTCGCAAATCGGGGGGACAATTTTCGTCACGCGAAACTACTGTTCTAGCGAGGACGAAAGCAGTGAGGATTTCGCCAACAAATTTGCAGCCCGTCCGAAACTGTCTGCGAACCAGTTTCGATGTTGCATTCCAGATCTGGTTATTTTCGCGATTTTTTTTTTCCTTGGCGATCCCAGACCACCAATTTCGATACCACCCTGGCTCGCGAGCCAGTCACCTTTCTCTCCCCTTTCAACCTTCCTAACTTAGAAACTCTTGGACCTCCGGTTTTAACTCGACACCATTGGAAAAAGAGGTAATCTATAGATGAAGGAGGTATTGAACAAGCTCTACACTGATCCTGTATATCTCGATCTAATGCGCCCTATTGTATTCTCATATGTTTTAAAGCCAGCAGCTAAAATAGTGACCCCCCCCCCCCCCTTCTAGTTGGGTCCACTTGAAAACTGAAGTTTTTTTGGAACAGTTTCGGAACCAACGAAGTGCTGTGCATTTTTATTTTTTCACTCCAGACGAGTCTCGCTGTGAACGGGGAACATTTGGAACAAGTGCACAACTCTGATTGGCAGCGAAACTTGCACACAATGCACACATACTTCTGTGCGAATTTGGCGCAAGATAACAATGCCTGTATTCACTCGAGCAGTCATAGAACTTCACAAAACCTCACATCAATCAACAACACAGAATCCAGCGCACACACAAATGCAGGAGATGAGAGCGGAGGTGGGCCGACGACCTGGCAAAGCTGCGACTGAAAGATGTTAAAAATAGGGAGTCGAAGAACGAGGGGGAAAAATAAGTTTGACAAGGTATCACCAACGGATAGAATGAAATCGATGGGGAGAGAGAGAGGATCAACGGCCAGCGAGGGGAGAGTGGTGTCAGAATCCCAACCACTAGACCATTGGGATAAAAGAGCTTGTTAAGTAGCGGGTCAGTGCGCCCATAACCCCCCAGACCAACATGCCTGTAACCCTTCCCTAGGATCAATTGGGGATCACCAGTGGACCTCTGACACCCCCCCGCACTGGGATGCCCGAAGTGCACACACTGGGATACGAACCCGAGACCTTTGCTCTGATACCATGTCAGAATCCCAACCACTAGACCATTGGGATAAAAGGGCTTGTTAAGTAGCGGGTCAGTGCGCCCATAACTGAGAAACTGAACGAGAATGAATTGACTAAGGGAAAGTTGGGTACAAATGTAAACCCTAGAAAACTGTACCCCATATGTGCTACCCCACTATAGCCTACAGTAGCTATGTCATATAAATCTGACACACCCCCATAGGCAAAGTGGGGGAGAACAAGGGGTCACAAGACCAGTCAAGCAAAGCAAAGCAAGCTCAGGGTGGATCACAAAGTCACCACACATTCCGAGCACAAGTTCAAGGCCACAAGGCCAGTTCACATGCAGGATTACATATATATATAAGGCTAGACAAGCAAGAGCAGGTGTATATATATATGCAACAGTACAAGGTCAAGGGGTGAGCAAGTGAGGCAAGGTAGGCACAAGACCCAGCTGAGTACAGAAGCGCTGATGATCACAAGGCGCAAGTGCCTTGGTGAAGATATCAGCAGTGTTGGCCTGAGAGGCCACGTACGCAAGCCGCAGCTGACCACGCTGCTGTAGCTCACGAGCAAGGAAGTAGCGGAGAGCAATGTGCTTCGTTCTGTGCTCCAGTCTCTGTTCTCGACACAAGGCCAGCATGGCCTTGTTGTCTACGTACAGCACTGGAGGAGAACGAGGCGGCTCTCCAAGGTCAGTCAGCAGGTAGGTGAGCCAGCGAAGCTCCTGTGCAGCCATGGCCCCGGCGTAGATCTCAGCCTCACAACTGGAGCCGAGAACAGAAGACGAGCGGGTAGCCCGCCACGAAACAGAGCCGGAACCAAGGCTGAAGGTGTAACCCTGTGACGACCGCTGCGTAGCCTGGTCGTCAGCCCAAGAAGCGTCTGCGTGCCCAGTGAGGACCACTGGACTCTGCCCTCCAAGCACAAGCCCCATGCCCGACGTACTGCACAAGTAACGCAACACCCTCTTCGCTGCAGCCATGTGCTCCGGTCTGTGTCTCCCAGGAGCAACATAGCGTGCGAGAATGCTAAGAGGGTATGCGAGGTCAGGTCGTGTGCAGGTCATCAGGTACATGAGGCAGCCAACAAGCTCTGGGTACGGGCCACTCGACTCTACGGACTCATCCGAAGGCAGAGCTGAGAGCGAGTGGCGAGTAGGCAGAGGAGTGGCCTGAGGCGAGGAGTACGTGAAGCCGAAGCGCTGAAGGACCTGCTGCACCATGTGTGACTGAGTGAGGGTAATGGTGCGGCGTGCTCTGTCCCGGGTGATCTGCAAGCCAAGGTAGCTGCGCAGTTCACCCAGGTCTGTGCACGTGTGTCTCTTCTGCAGCTCGGACTTCACGTGGGCGAGTCCAGCAGTGTCAGCTGTGGCAAAGACCAAGTCGTCGACGTACACGAGGATGTAGAACGGCGGCAAAGAAGTGTCGGTGCGCAGAAACAGCGACGGGTCGGCAGTAGAGGGAGCAAACCCAAGAGCCGCAAGTGTAGTCCTCAGTGTGTCGTGCCACTCACGCGGTGCCTGGCGGAGACCGTAGACTGGTCGCCGGAGGCTCCACTGGGTGCCAGGAGGAAAAGACCCAGTGAAGCTAGGTGGGCGACGCAGCCAGATCTCCTCGTGCAGGCTGCCCTGCAAGAAAGCAGTGCTGAAGTCAAGAGAGTGCAGCTCGTAGTCGCGGTGAGCAGCTATGTGCAGCAGTACCCGAAGAGTGGTCATCTTCAGGGTGGGAGAGAAGGTCTGAAAGTAGTCAACTCCCTGCCGCTGACTGAAGCCACGAGCCACGTAACGCGCCTTGAAGACAGGCGGAGAACCCGGCGGTCGCTTCACCCTGAAAATCCACATGCCACTGACGATGTTCGCCCCAGGCGGGGGAACCTCGTCAACGTAGGTGCCTGTGGACTTCCAGGAAGCCATCTCTGTGTCCATAGCTGCCTGCCACTGAGAGGAGTAGGGACCCTCTATCGCCTCCGCGTAAGAGCGCGGAGTCGGGATGTCAAGTGCATCCGGGTCTCCCTCAGGGGTAAGCAGTACGGACACGAGATGAGGTGAAGCAGCAGCCAAACACTGGAACTCCTCCTGCCTGTCCTCAAGGACGTCCGTGCCAAGGGCACACTCACCCCCGACGGACGGAGGACAGACAGACTCAGACTCAACGACAAGACTAGCAGCGTAGTCTAGACGACAGCGAGCAGCAAAGTCGACGAGCTCAGCAACTAGGGCAGACGCAGCAGTGGACTCAAAGGAAGGGTCAGTGACGACAGTAGCAAGGAGACGCGTGACAGTAGGACTGGCAGCACGAAGAGAGTCCGACTCCGGGTCGGGAAGAGCAGGAAGAGAGGACTCAGGAG